AAAAATATTTGAAATTATTTAAGCAAACTTTATCTTATTATTAATAAAATTTATATATATGAATTTATATGAATATATAATGAAATTTAAGCTATAATTTAAAGAAATTATAATATTTTCATAATTATTAAAAATTATCATATTAAAAAATTTTAAATTTATCATATTAAAAATTTTTGAAGTTACATATATATATCAATGATGAACAAGTTTAATTTCATTAAAAAAAATATTCTTTTTGTTTATTCATATATATATATTAAAATATATACCTTTGTTTCATTAAACCAATTGATCTAATTCTACTACTTCTCCTTACACCAGAATTATTTGATCCACTTTCTGAACCTGTTGTATCAGTACTACCACTTCTACTTCTAAACTCAATTTTTTTATCGATATCATTTGCGTTATTATTACATTTTGAATCAAATTCTGTCAATTTACAGTTATTGATAGATAACATTGTATCATTACTATTATCACTGCTACTAGATAGTTTTGTATCTTCCCCATCAATTTTATTATCTATTTCACTGTCACCATACAATTCCTCAACTTGTTGCAAATTTATTGTTTTCCGTTGATTTCCATTCTTTTTATCTAATGAAATTTTTGATTTTAATAAATGTTGATTTGTATATTCCACTTTATCATTACAGGAATCAGATTTATTTAATTCTGTAACATTTTTATCCATATTATCAATCAACAAAGAGTTATTTGATTGATGCAATTGTTCCATTTTATCCAATATTGAAGAACTATAGTCCGCGATTGATTAAACGCAATAATATTTTTTCAATATTACTTTAAACTCAACCTCAAATTAATATATTCTATTTTTCTACAATAATAGATTCTATTTAATAATTATTATACACATTTATTTTGGATGATTACTTATTTGGTATAAAAATATTCATGTTTTATAGAAAAAGATACGAATGTTCTTGCGTCACTTGAATAAACGCATAGTAAATAAAACAAAAAAAACAATATTTTCATAACAAAGATGTTTTATTAATACTTTGTATGTCCACCATTTTTGTTTATAACTTGAAAGATACGATTTAGTATTGATTTATATAGTGTGTCTAGATAAGATTGTGGTGATCCTTTTTTCCACTTGGTCTCTATAGTATTTACAAGATCTTCCTGGTGAGAAAATTGACGATTATTCATGTAAACTTGTCTTGATAGATATCCCCAAACATTTTCAATAATATTCAATTTCGGTAATAATACCGGCCAATTTATATGGTTTATTTCTTGTTTCTTATGGCAATTCTTAATTAATTTGATTGCATATATGTCCACATTATCGTATTGAAATATCCAATTGTTGTACTTCATCACGTTAAAAATGTTTATCTTTGCTAAATTTAATATTTCTGTTACTAATACCGACAGAGATTAGCGATTTTGTTTCTTAAAATAATCATAGGTGGCATTCAAATATAATTATTTTATATTTTTCACCACATCATGATGCTAATGAATTTTTTTTCTTCTTTTTGTTATTCGAGTTAATCGAGTTGTTAATAAAGTTCTTATTATAAAAAACACAAAGGATATGTGATATATATTTAAATGATAATGTTATATCTTGAGTCGAGTTTATCTCTTATCATTGAATATTGATTATTTAGAGTATCGATGGTACAAGATTTAGACTGATGCTCTCTTTAGTAACTTTACTAGTTATTCTTATTAAAATAATTATATTCCCTAGTTATATGTTATTAAACGAATATGTTTCTATTATAAAATAAAATGATAAATAAGATATAAAGATATCCTTAAAAAATCCTGTGTTAATTTAAAATTTATTAAATAAATTATTTTATTACATTTATAATTTATTATATTATGAAATATAATATTTATTGTAATTATCAAATTTAAAATATTACTAGTAATATGATGATATTGTATATGAACATATATATATTGTTATATGTGTTATATATTATTATATAATGTTTAATGCTCTTTGAAATGCAATATTTTATTAATAATTTTGAAATTTTTTTCAATTCAAAATTCTATAGAAAAATATTCTATTAGATTCTAATTAAAATGATTAAATATTTTATAATTTTTATTGATTTAAATTTAATTATCTAGATGTTGATCTTGAAATTTCTAGCGATCTAAATGAACAGTTATAAAATCTCTAGTAATGTTATGTTGATTGGTTGAATATAAGAATGGCCGTTCCTATAATTTTAAATTTGAGTTAAGAAATATTTTATTTTAGATTTACTTGGATAATAAATAATTTTATTTGAATAAAATATGTCCATTAATGTTACTGTTAATGGAAATCGTTTAAATATACATAGAGGAAGAATGGTATTATCTGATTTAGATCAAATTAAGAAAAATGAACGAGATCGACGGCGAAGGTTACGTTTGGAACAGGTACACATATTATATAAAATTAAAAATATTTAAAAAATGACGAAAATATGATATAATAAAAATAAAGTATAAAGAAATAAGTTGTAATAAATAATTATAATAAATATAAATATAAAATATTATGTATATAAAATGTAAAAAATGACATTGTAGTAATTATTTTATTGCGTTAAAAGTAGATAAAGTATTAATGCTGTTGATATCAAGATTAATAGTAAAAAGATCAGAAGAATCACTTAAGGAATTTATATAGGTACGACAACAATCAAAAGAAATATCAGATAGACTTTTAAAACGTACAAAATACATAGCTAAGGAAGAACTTAAAAAGCTCGAAAACAATGACAAATTAAGTTTGAAGCAAATATATAATGGAAAAATCATGGAAGTTCAACAAAAATATCTAGAAGACATGGCAGATATTGGTCAAGCACATATATCTGCTGCATTAGAACCTGATTATGATGCATTAATTAAAGAAAAACAAGGAAAAATAAAATAGCAGCATTAAAGAGAGGAAAAGAAGCAAGGAAGCAAATTAAAAATACTCAACAGGTAAATTATTAATGTTAATATTTTATAATATTATAGAAAATGATTACAAATATTCATATGCTATGTTAGAATAAAATTTATGAAAAATTAAGTAAAATCTGTATCAGAAGGAGACTATGCAACAGCAACACCATGAACGATTACAACATGTAAGAGAGGTAGAAAATCTCAGATCTAAAATGATAGCAAACATTTGTAAAAAAACAGAGTCTGAAGAAGATACTGTATGTGTTACTATTCAGAATAAATCTGATGAAGAAAGTAAACAGCAGAAACTTGCTCAAAAAAAGACAAAAAAATTATTTTCTAAAAAATTACCTGAGAAAGTTGCAGAAACTCATATAAAAGTATATATTTTTATATATTAATAATAAATCTATAGATACAAATATTTATATATTTTAAAATATTTTTATAGATTGTAGGAAATGATTTTAAAACACAAAATTCTCCAATTTTCAAGTCAAAAATAACATCAGAAATAATTTCAGAAAATGATTCTTTAGTTCTAGAACAACAATCTACTCTTAATTCGATTACAGAATTATCATCTAAACAAACTGCACATGTGATTGAATCTGATAAAAATTTTGAGAAAGAAAACATTCTGACAAAAGTAGATAAAACAAGGTATGTATCATAATATTAAATTAATAAAAAAAGCTATTAATAAATATTTTGGATATTGAAGATATAATCCGGATGATTACATACAAACAACTTCGGAGTCTATTACTAGTGACAGTTCCAGTTCATTTAGTGATGATTCATCATATTTTTCTGATAGTGGTGAACAAAATATAAATAAAGAAATAAAAACAACAAAATATATAAAATGTCCAGCTAGTGATAAAGTACAATTATATGATCATAATAAACGTTATAATAATATATATGATCAACCAGTTGGTGTAGTTGAAAAAATATCTACATGGAATGAGGTTTGTAGAAATAATTTAATGTAGCAAATAAATAATTCAAATGATAATTCTAATTCATATGATTTATTCTATGATAAAGTAATATTTTAGGCATTTATAAAAGAATAAAAAAAAATTTCTTAAAAAAAGAAAATTTTTTTTAAAATTTTACTTAATAATCAAAAATAAAAAATAATATAAATTAATAATAAAATTGAAATTATATTACAAACATTTTTAAATATTAAATATAAAATTTTTAAATATTAAAAGTTCATTAATATATATTAAATTTATATTTCCAGCCAAGTGCAATGGATTTGGCTCAAGAAATAGAACAAGCACAAACTGTTCAGCAAAATTTATTAGAAAATCGTAAACATAATGCGAAAAAACGCGGAGAAGATGCAGCATTAAGAGAAAAAATACGTCGGGATTATCAGATTCTTATGCAAAATCTAGATCAACTTGCAGGTGAAGAACGTAAATTAAAAGCTAGTCAAATCGAACATTATCCGGTATTTATTTTATTTGTACTTTTTAATTTGACCATAAATTTGTCATATATATTTTTTATAATTTCCTTTATATTATTTTTATTTAGAAAAATGTATATATACAAGAAGAACGAAGAAAACTTTTAAGAAATCAACATAAAAAGAATCTAAATCGTGCATTAAAAACATTATTAAGTGAAGAATCTTTAAATGAAGAACAATGTATATCACATCCTATAGAAAGACAAATTACACTTACACCAAAAAAATATGATAAAAATATAGATGATTATATTGATTGGAAAGAGTCTTGTTGCTTTAATCAACGTACAAAAACTAGCAAAATTTTACAAAATAAATGTAAAGAGAATGAAACTTCGCGTGAAGAACAAATATTAGATATGTTAAAAAAAGTTGAAAAACAAAAACGATTATTATTACAAGAATTTGGAGCAAATTTACCAAACGATATTTTTAATGCGTCTATAAAAAGTTTGTTCGAAAAAGATAAATCAGTTCAGACGCAATTACCTGTTCAAGATGTATGTATTCAAAAATCTTTATCGCCAGAAATCAAAGTAATAAATGCATCTCATGATAAGACATTAAAGATAAAACTGAAGAAAAAAAAGACTTATCTGTGAAAAAAGTAGAAATTGCTGTACAAACTATAACAGTAGATAAAGATAGTATAGCTCAAGATAAAAGTACACAAGTACAATTAATATCACAAAAAGAAAATGAATCTGTTTTTGTTAATGATGAAATTAAAACAATTACAAAACATTATCCAATTGAACCACGAATTACAATTATTAGACATGAAATGGATAGTAATAATTCAACAAGTTCTGAGACAATAAATGCAATTACTGATGTTGATGAAAGTAATAATCAAAGTCCGGAAATATTGAAAAAAAAAAATATAATACAAAGATATTAAAGCAAACTCCACCAAAAATGTTTCACAAATCATGCTCAACTCGTACAAGTAAAACTTCGTCTCCTGTAAAGAAATATTCAAAATTTTTGTCAAGATCACAGTATAGTAGTCAAAAAAAAAGTTTATGTACAGAAGACATGCCTAGTAAAAAAATTAAAATGTATGTAGATAAAAATGGATTTAATATTAAAGTAAAGCCACCTCAAATTACAGACATTACTGTAGATGTAAATTCGCAAAGTACTCAAGTTTATTCAACAAAATCTAAAGAAGAAGCTATAAGTAAACAACAATGGGTTCAATCCACATCGAAAAGAATTAAAATGAAAGATATTTCGGATACATCAACATCTTTTGCTAGTCTACCATCAGTAAAACCCAAAGAAATATTCGAAGCTTTACATAATAATATCTCTATTCTTGAAATGTTAGATTCTTCAGCAAACGAAAGTATAAGACGTTTAAGAAAAGATATTAGTCCAGTATCAACACCAGATACCCCATCACCTCGTACTATGATGATGCCTTCAAATATACCTCACTTAGATAGAATTAGAAAATTACTTAGATATTCGTCTACAGATTCTCAAACGAATGATAATGATATATTATTTTCTAAAAACGATAATTCAACATCAATAGATTCATCTGAATATCAGC